TAACCTACGACCCTCGATCACTCGATGTGTGGAGTTCTGCGATCGTGATGATATATCTCACCTTTGGCGGCGCCATCTGGTCCCGCGCTGTCCCAGGAGAGCTCCATTATGATAAGCTTGTCAAGGGTTGGGAAACGTGGTATGGAAAGCACCCAGAGCCCGACGCCACTATCTCTGATTCGGATTACCCCAAATGCTACGCTCTCGACGTGGGCATGTCCCCACCTGCTCTCCGCCGTCTTGTGCTACAGATGTTGAACCCTGATCCTCAAAAGCGTATCAGCATTGAGGACGTCATCCACAACCGCTGGCTGAAGAATGTCGAGTGCTGCCAGCTGGAATCTTACGATGACCCCGCTCTTCTTATTGATGCGACCAAGAAGGACAATACAGCCAACGGCAACAAAAAGATATTTTGCCACAACCATCTACCCCCAAAGGGCACTGGCTCCCACTCACTGGGCAAGATGCCAGGCCAGCCGGGCTACTAGACGACTTAATGACTGATGGAACGACATTTGAAATGTCCTACAAACACTAAACAACCATTTCTTTGATAATAAGAGCAACATTGGATTTGTTCGCCTATAACTTTTGTATTCACCTATATTGGCGTTGGGGTCAAGCTGGCCATGGATGATGGTCTAGGCCTGCATGGTTTGGAGTTGGTGAATTTCGATCGCTTCATTTCTTTTACACTCCAACCTGTACATAGTATACAACCCTTTCCCTGTTTTCGTCAGATGACGACGCATCACAGCCGACGAGGATGGGGAATGTCTTACAAGCAAAGCAGACTTAATACCCCCCGAAGAAAACCGTCTCTTGCTCTTTTGGAATCTGGGGGATAAATGGAGATTTAACATGCCATTGGTCTGCAGATGGACAGAAAGAACAGTCGGGTAGAAGAAGGATGACCATGGAGGTTTATCAATTCACCCGTTTAGTCTTTTCTATGAGTTTTCTTCTGGATTCAAAGATGCGCGCGACCCCCTTGAAGATTGTTTATTCTTACAAGTATCACTTAGATATATATACGGACGTATGTATATATGGGCATGCTGCTCTGGTACTCTGATGCCATTGCTACCGTTCTCTTCTGCGAACTAGCACAATAGACTTACTCACGTTCTTGATTTGTTTGTTGTTTGATCAACACTTATTTACTCCAGCCTCGGTTCGACTTGAGTATCCATAAAAGAAGGGCCTTCCTCGGGATCACTTGGTGTTGTGGCCGCGATGCTTGACGTCTTGATCAGGTGCTTTGACCCCTCTTAGATAGCGGTTATCAATCGCCTGACTGTTGAGTAAGAGCATTATCTATCTAGATTTACAAGGATTGAAGCGAGATCTATCTATTTTACTAGAAGGATGATGGAAGCATTCCACTTGTTGGCATCGTAGCGCGTTATATCACATGTCGTTACTGCAAGAATGATGTTTATTTACCTGTATGTCTGTCTACCTATCTATTTACCCGGCAATCTGGGACTGTGGAGTATGTATACACTCCTCTGTGGCGTGTGCGGATGCGCCGATGCTGCGGGCTGGGAGTTTTCGGTGTTACATATTCAGAAGCGACGGAAAGCATCCCACGCGATATGCACGCAAGGCATGTCTCACCACGACGATGTTGATACTGTATGAGCCATAACCCAAGCGAAGTCGGAATGAGCGATATATTGGCTTAGATATGTATGATGCTGGAGCGGTCTCACCGCCGATCGGTAGTAGCAGTGAAAGTGGAAATGTCACAGGATCTCATTGGACTTGGGAACAAAAGTGAGGCTTGACGATGACGCTGAGCACTGGATAACATTTGGGACGCCTTAGGACATGTGAATGTGAGTGAGAATGAGGATGAGAGAAGGGCGTGGTGACGCTGATACGCCCTCACGATATCCCATCCCACACCGGTCGTCGTGGGTTTCCACCGAGTTTCACTGGTGTTGGGTGTTTGTTCCGGGTACCTGGCTAAGGCTGAAGCTGTCATCAACGCAAAGGTCCTGGACAAAGTTGAGACACAGTGACAACCCCCCACGTGGTCAAGAGGATTTGACGGAACAGAGAGAGTCTCACGACCAGTGGGTGAGGAGTGTTTGGCTCGCTCACAAGCTCTGGCTTCAGATCACACAGCTCCCTTTGGCCCGCGTGACCGGTCATGCTTAACACTTAGTTATTCCGGTTCACGACTAATGATGCAGCATCGCGGAAATAACGTGCCGAGCGAAACATGACAAGAGCTGAGGCTGATAAAGCGAGACTACCGCGCACTGCACGAGAGCGAACTGGCACACCGAAAGAAGCCTTCTCGGATATCAGTGCCGAGAAGTATGAGGGCTGATTCGTGCCCGCATTGGAGATTTCGTGGGGGTGGAGGTGTTTTTGCTTCTTTCTTTTTGTTTGTGTTACCCACGGACAAGTTGTGATTGTTGGGATGTTGGAGAATTGGAAGTGTCTTCCCCAGATTGTAACACGAGAATCCTGGGGAAAAGAGGCTGGCTGATGGAGAGATGGGATGGGGAGTGAGAATAGAGATAGTACAGAGTTTTGTGAAGGAGTCAAGGCTTAAAGGCTTAGTACTAGGACTTATGTATGAAGGAAGACTCTTTAAGAGGTGGACGGTTACTTTGGAAAGTCTGAGCTTGATGGCGGGGAAGAAGAATAACCTTGCCGTGCCGCCATCAATGATCAATCGTAGGAATGCGAGAATGATAGTGCTCACTTTTTGTGTAAGCTTAAAATGGAATGATACCCGATATACTTTTAATATCAATCCCTTGTATCCGTATGTACTTTCGGCAGCCAAGAGCTTATAAGTGCCGAGATGGACGGCAAATATGGATCACGGCCGGCAGTGGGTTTGCTTCTTCCTGGAGCTGGTGGAGGTAAACTGTCCCTCTCGCTCCGAGGAGTTTTGCTCGGCGGAGATTCGTCCAAAGATGATCTAGGAACTTTTCTGCGTAGGGGTAATTCTGAGTAAATAAGTTTTTTTATCTCGTCTCAAGATATATCCACCATCTGCCCCGTGTTCTGTTCCTGAAACTATCGTCGAAATATCGGAATCTTGCTATAACCCGGCTCCGGTTCCTTAATTAAACCTTATAATAGGATCCAATCTAATAAGCTTAGTTATTGCGCCCAGTTAAAGTTTAGTTTCTCTGGCTTCTGGAAAACGTTTCAGATACACCGTCAACTGTCCAGATTAATAATTCCTCCAATGGCAAATATATACTTACAGGTGGAACAACGGATTTCTCATTCCCAAAGTGGCATGTCTCGTTCAACTGCCGCGTACTCAAGATTACCAACCTGGCCTGAAACGGAGCACCTACCGAATTACCCGATCTGAAAGACTGAAAAGGGATCTGTTCAAGATGTATATTAAGACGCTGTTGTATCGTAATAACATGGTTGGTTCTGTAGCATTTTTGTCTTCAAGTTACTACTGGCTAGTATCCATTCATTTCTCTGTATTTCATTCATTCCTTTGCCAATCGTGTATATATATACCGTTACTTGTTCACCATGCGTACCGCTGCTGCCTTCATCACTCTTCTGGCCTCCGTGGTCTCTGCCACTCCCTTCGGCCAACGCTCCCAGGTTCTCGCCAGAGCAAGCGAGACTTGCCCCGTCGTCTTCGATGGCCGAGTCCCTGCCAATGCCTCTCTGACCGACTTCGACACGGCCAACGGCGGCGGCTGGAACCCTTACAACCCCGGCTTCGTCAAGGGAAACAACATCTCCTGGTCCGAGATTCTTCAGCTTCCCAAGACCAAGACCAAGTCGCGCTTCGATACCGAGGCTGGTACCATCCCTCTTGAGGTCACTATCAGCGACAAGAGTATCTTCATGAAGCAGCTCGGCTTCAGACGCGCTGGTCTGCAGTTCAACAAGGATAGCAATGAGGGCAGCCCTGGGTCTGAGGGCGTCAAGACTCTGCACTTTAGCATCATGCAGGATGACAAGCGCCCTCTCAACCTGAGCCATGAGTACCTGGTAAGCATACCTGGGATCATCACTGACGTGGTTGATGCTAACAAGGATAGAATGTTTGGCACGAGAAGGCCGATTTCTCCGGCAACCAGTTCCAGTTCCAGGCTGGCCAACTCATCGGGCAGAACGGCACCGCTGCTACATGGAAGCTTCTCGACCAGGACTTTAAGCTTCTCTGGGAGACTCCTATGCTCAAGAAGGTATGGCAGAACTTTGCCATCACCCTCAACTACGAGAAGAAGTAAGTCCCTACCAACTACATAGCACAAATACCATAGCTGACAATCGTAGCACCATCCAAGCCTACTACTCCAAGGGATGCAAGCCTCTCAAGGCCGCCACTCAGCCCATCGCCCGCAACTTGACCGGCCAGGGACAGTTTCAGATTGGTATCCTCAAGAAGCCTACTGGCACCGACGATGTTGCCAACTCTGGATTCCAGGAGGCCAACTTGAACGAGGGACTTATTTACGGTGGTGTCTTCCTTGAGGACAGCGCGGATGGATGTGTTTCTCTCTAAGGTATCGCTTGTGATGGATGCCGCAGACGTTGTATGATAATAATGGTCATTCGAGACTCTACGACATGCATTACGTACCTACCGCTTCAAGGGGAATATATTTTTACATACCGCATGCTGTTTTAGATGTATATTGTGGTGCACATGATGTATATATATATATTCCTTAGCTGTGCCCTAGCTGTCGCTGTGTGTTCCTTATGACCACCATCAACAACATCTTTGAGTTGATGAGTTTGTCGTCGCATAAACGCACTGAAACACAAACAGTAGAGCTGCATATATAAATGGATTTTTTTCCGAGCAAGTAAAATAAGACCTTGTACAAAATTCGTACCCAAATAGATGCATGGTTGGTAGTGAAAACAATGTCACGTGCTACCAAGCTGAAGCTCTGCTCTGCTAGGTTTGCTCTACGCAACATTCTCGAGTCTCGCCATCAAATTCGAGGTAAAGAGGTCGGTCTTACTCACCTCCCACGAAAATGGCACCCTATTCCGTGTATCAATTGTCAAACGCGAGCCGTAGACTTTCCTTGAGCCTTTTGCGCCAGCATCAAAACAAACTCGCGGTTTCCAAACGACAGCCTAGCCCAATTCGCCTCCTCTCTCTCCAACAACCAAGATATCTTCACACCGGTGACGATGCCAAGTCAGACGAATCAACACAGATCAGCAGCGATATTGCTGCTAATGAGGAGGGTATAAAAGCCCACAGCTCTGTCGAGACCAGCAACGAAGCCAAGTCAATTGCAGACGACTCGATTAAAAGCAGTAACGATGTTACTGGATCACCGACCCCGGGTCTTGGACCTATTTTATCCTCAGATCCAAGAGGTGAGACCAAGATTAAACCAAGGCCATGGAGCGAGGAGGAGTTGGCTCAGCTCGAAGAGTTCGTCAAACGGCCATATTTCAGTATAGACTACATGGCAAGGCGGATGGACCGATATTTTTCAAGTGTCCTGGACCAGCTGAAGCAGATGGAAAAGCAGAAGGGAATCAAGCTACTGCGCCGAAGTCGGCCTAAATCCCCATGGCATCATAACATGGATGCTACCCCAGAGCAAGTCGCAATTTTCGAGGCGAAGCAAGACGATGTGCAAAAGCGTATGGAACACATTGTCGAAACACTCATGACCTTGCCAAAGACGACCCAGTGGGAGGAAATCCTCAAGTTGAAATCTGCCTCGGAATGGGCATCAGCCATCATGAAACTAATACCACTGCGAGTATGGCACATCTTGGCCGCAGACGAGCCGCCGTCCCAGGAGGATTACAAGACCATACCAATGGTTGATCCGTTTAGCACGACTGGAGTGTTCGCCCAAGTCACCCGACGCAAGTTATACATAGGCTATATTGACATGCCTTTTGGCGTGCTGGCGTGCCGAGACCAGCAGGCAAGCCCGCACAGGCACAGGGGATTGAAAGTCCCGTTGGTTCCAGTGTCTTTAGAAATGTCTAAGCAGCTTACCTACGAGGAAATGGTTGAGCAGAGGTATGTGCTTGGACTCGCCAAGGCGGCGCTCGCGGCATGGCTCGGGGCATTCAACTACGAAGTAAATCCTACTCTCCGTGAATTGTATGCCTGGTGGGAGAAGGATGTAGATTCGAGTAGACATCCTTTTGGCTCGATATCTTGTAACCCACTTGAGCAGAAACTCACTCTTCCGCCGACGCCAGAGGAACGTGCTGCCAAGAAGGCCAAACTTGAGGAGAAGTTGAAACGTGAGGCAGAGAAGGCAGCGGAGACAGAGAAGGAAGTGAAGAAGAGGTTATGGAGGGAGAGTGCTAAGAAGTGGGCTTCTGAGGCTAAGGGAGAATTCTGAGGATCCATACAGTGGTCGTTTGTATAAAATGTGTATAATTTGCCAATTAAGAGGCAGTCGATAGGTGTGTAGGTATGATTAGAGACAGCCAAGTCCGTCATAACCTCCTGTTTCTCTTCCTGATAGCCCAGCAACACTCAACTCAACAGAATTGAGACCCAATTCCGCACAAACTAAACGATGGGCGAGCTGGCGGTATCTCTGGTGATGATCGTGGTGTGCTTGTTACATGATAGTCATCATTTTGGGGATCCAAATCACAAATAATTGACAGGTCATCAAGCAAGGAAGACTTGCTGTAATACTTTGCCCTTGGGATAGGTTAGTGTATGTATGAGAATTGAAGACTTTTCTGACTTGCTTCATCATTGGACCTCCAAAAACTCGTGATATCACCTCCATGTTCTCGGTAAGTCTCAGGAGCAAGTGCTTTAGGTGAAGTAATAATACAAGGGCAAGTTATCTCCCTGATATCACTTTCGAAACGGTCGTTTCATAAAGACTGTGGTTACTCCAGATCAACCGACTTCCATGTTTTGTGGTTGCTAGTGATGCTCTACGTCTTGTTCTGGTGCAGCACAGCAGAGTAAGTGATATGCGTTACATAAGGAGTAGCCAGTCATTCTCCGTTTTGACCTGCAAGCATACACAGATGCACTTAGTGTCGTATCAAGAGGTAAGACTTGTATGATGCTCGTATTCTCTTTGCGTCAGTCTTGACTCCGCGTTTTGTATAACTTTGGCAGAGCCCCCTCTTCCGGTACAAGCACATCGCCACTCCCGAAATCTCGGCAGTCTCTCATTATGAGCTATAAGGAACAGCAAATGGTGCAGACAGGCCGTGACTCCTCCTCTCTCCTCTGCACATGTGGACCTGGGAGGAGAACATGGCGAAGGATAGCAACACCATGGATGTAAATCGAGATCAAGAGAACAGCACAAGGCAAACGAAACCTGCGAACCGTACAGCGAGGAGAATGCCACTAGGCATGCGTTCTCATAGCATGCATAGCAAGGCCTGCTAGATTGGAGCAAAGAAATTTCTCATGCCAAAGCTCTTTCTATCCAGGCACCTGCTGCTTCTCTCTCTTTCGTCCTTGATCCTCCAAAACAAGCTTCCGTCATAACAGGCTCTCAGGTCATCCCTTTTCACGATCCCATCCTCTTGGAGAAGCACATATGTTGTCCACCACTCCATGAAAGCAAAAGTCCAACCAGCTGGATCTGCTGCACAGCGATCCTTGGCCCATAATCTCCATAGGTCATCAGCAGTCAAGCCTCCATTACCAGATGTATCGAACCGCTGACACATGTGCTCGAATCTCTGTGGGCTGAAGTTCCCATCAAAGTCGAAGATGCCTGTGTCAGAGCCATGCTTGGCCTTGTGGATGTCATTGACATAGATGCGGAACATGGGGTCAGGCAGCCAACTATGGCCGAGCCGTGTTGGATATGAAAAGAAGATGGGGATGAGAAGCGAGCCTATTGAGAAGAAGAGGCCGAAACCGAGTTCGCGGAAGCCGTTGTAGACGTCCCATGGGTTGATGATGCCGTCATTATCGCGGTCCCAGAATTGAACGTGTTTCTGGAGAGGGCTGAGCTTTTCGACCTCGTCTTTGGCCACGACCGGTTCTGATTGTTTTTCATCATGATCTGAGGTGTAATCGTTGTTAAGTTTGTTGGAGTCAGCCATGTTGACTGACATTGATACTTTTGTTTCTAGTCGAAAACAACGCAGATACAAATTCCAGAGTCTCATGAGTTGGATGGACTAACTATTGATATAAGGGGATGTATGTATGTCATTTGTTGTTATGCTGTGGCTAAAGTCACCTTGAGACACCGTCTACTAGTTACGAGCAATTGACGTAATTGCAACACGCACATCTCGAGGCTTCCAACATGTGATTCTAATTCTACCTACCTACCTTACCCAATTCTGATATCAATGATCCGCCGCTAATAACAGAACCACACAGAGACAGCAGTAGGCTAGACTTGCATGAACTTGTCACTTCGAATGGTCAAAATATGGAATTCTTCTTGCGCGCCCCTAACTTCTCTCTAGGCGTCACCGTCTCGCATCACTGATGAAGAGACCAGTAAGTTATAATTAATTGATTATTTATTTATTTATTTATTTATTTATTTACTTACCAAGGTATACACTAGTTATATGTTCAGTAAACGCAATCAAGTGTCCATCAATAGCATTATCTCACGTGGGAAACTTCCTTTCCACAGACAGCTCCTCCACTCCAAAGATTCATCCTCATCTCCTGGCTTCGATAGACAGAGCTCTCCCAAGACTCTGCTACCTTGGTCCGAGTATCTGGTACCGAGGTAGAAGCACGTCGAGTCGGCAACAGGCACAACCTCTTTCGCATGATCGAAGCGAAACTTGCCCACACACGCTTGGCTTCCATCTTTGTATTGAAACAAGAGGCCCGATATTGAACTGGTTCCTTTCTCAGACTGTTCTCTGCAGATCTGAACGTCTCTCACAGCATCGAGCGAGGTATCTGGGGCCTCAACAAGATCTGTTTCGCATTCGGGTGCTAGTCCTGCTGGTAAGGGATCCTTGTCACTCCCTTTCACAGTCGGTGATGCGAACAAATAAATGCCCCCAAGGCGAGGGCTGAGGTAGACCAGCATTGGGCTGTCCGTTGAATCTTTGGCTATACATTTCCACTCGCTGTATGGTGAGCTGCTTCTTCCCATGATGAGTGTTCGCGACTGATTAGTGACCAGCTGATATGAGTGAGTCAGCCTCAAGCTTCAAGGGGGTGACGGCGCGTTGATTCATACCGATATCGCAGTCTCTGTGGCAGCATCTGATGTCTGTGATCGCCTTTCGTCTGCTTCCTTCTTTGTGCGCAACCAGACTTGTTCGACACGTTCTCCGGGATTCAACGGATGGTAAGTCCAGTGAAGGGCTGGGCTTGCGATCGAGTCGTCTGACTTTTCTGTAGCTAACTTTTGCTTCGCCATTTCGTCCAGCTCACGATAAAAGGCCAACGACTCTTCAACCTTGTGCGTATGAAGATCGACCAGCTGCTCCTTGTACCAACAAGCAGAGTATCCGGTGATCTCAGGCTCGTTGAACTCCAAAGCCACCATGCGAGCTTCGATGGTCATACCAAGACTTGAAGATGAGTCTTTTGTGACGTGGTAAGCCATGTTTTTCAACGCATCTGGGGTCATGGGATATGGCCAACAAATGGTGGGATTCAACGGAGCAGCAGCGAAACTGCGCAATTTGAGGCCCTGTCTTGACATTAGAACTGCAACTCATGATCAAAAGGACAAACCTTACATCGTCAGAGAATGAGAGGAATTTGCTGGTGATGGGGAGTGTTCGCCACCAGCCTGAACTACCTTGTACCGATGTAACAGCTCCAGGATTGTTAACAACTTGGCGAATGCCGAGATGATCTTCTGAGATGAAAAGAAAGTTTTCTTCTTGGCCCTTGAACTCTCTCCAGAGTAAACGGCTTCCAGGCTTTGGAGTGTTCGACAAGGAAGATATATACTCGATTCCGTCCAGGTTGACATGAGTTGCCCATACATCCTTCAATGGCTCGACCGTGTATTGAATCGACCGAGAGACATGAGATAGTGAAGCTATCGCATAGTGAAGGACCAGATGTTTGTTCATCATCAGCAGTATCTCTGGTGGTAGATTTGTGAACTTTTGGCTCATGATCCGGTGCAAGTTGTTCAAAATCCACTCTCGTCGCCGCTCATCTTCCCGAACTGAAGGCTCGTAAGAATATCGAGCAACTTGCACAAAGGCTCTCTTATCAAGCCCGAATGATGAAGCTATCTCGGAGCATCCAACGTGATATCCGATTGTTGCACATGACTCGTGATCACTTATGCAGCGCCTGAAAGTTGCATGTAGCTTTTCATCGTTGAAGGAATCGCATGATTCGAAGGCAACTGTTTCAGTACCACCAGATGCTCCTTTGACAGAATCAGTATTGTTTCTTGACGTTGAGAGACTGTGTAACTGACTGGCTGTGATGAGATCGCCGGGCTTGATCGAGAAGCGACACCATCCACATCGACGACTGACACAGTAAGACGGATAGGGCATCATAGGAGGAAGAGGATTCACATAATTCAGTGCATGCCACTCCCACCCTTCAGCGAATTCCATCCATTCCAAATCCATTATTCGATCAATTCGGCGAATCTCTTCAGGGCTGAGTCCTCCAGTGAGTCCTCCACTGTAGTCCATCAAGGAAGCACGAATGGCTTGAGGCTGAAGGGAGCTAACTCGGTATAAATAAGCCAGCCAACCGACCAACCAGCCAACTGACCTGAGCTGACCTGAGCTGAAGTGCGGCAATTGAATTGGATAGACTATTTGATGATATCACGTGGCTTCATTTATCCAACGTAAGAAACAAGACACACAGAATGAGAAACAAGGAAAGTTATGTTTGTTATATAGCCTGATATCTATCTACCTTGCTTCAACACTGCACCACTGCCAAGGCCAATGTAATGTAATGCATACATGCGGCGATACGTGTAAGCTTACGCCCCCATTCACAATAATGCGCCTAGACACTGTTATCTTACACGCAATTCTTCAAAACTTGATACAACACTCCCCTAGTCATTGTCTCTTGTTGGTTCAAATAGCCGATTGTGACACGATATGTTCGCTGCTTGCCTGCCGTATCTTCTCCAGTGTCACATTCTTGGCCAAGGTCGACGTGGGCAAGACGGGTTATAACCGGACCTTGGTCCGTGATTGAACACCCGTTTGGGAAATTCCCCTCGATAGCATCATTGAGTCAGGGTATACATACTTACCGTTAAGGAAACTCGTGTTTGATTATGCCCATGCGAGCTTGCAGACAGGCCCTTGCTTGATTGTATTGAAGCTGCGATAGCTATCGTGTTGGACGGAGCTACGAGTGTTCAAATACATTGTGAGTAAATACAAAGTGCTCTTATGACTTGCTATATATCGACTGCTTGGATGCTTAACGAGCTGCCGTGAAGCCATCCATACACGTACGTAGGTGAAAGAAGCTCTGTTCTCACTTAACGACTAAGCCACTATTGCGTGATGACTCTTGGGAAGTGTGAAGTATCTTGATGTTGTTACTTTCAGAGGACGTTTGCAACAAATTAGTTGAGTATACTGACATGTTTGCCAAGCTTAGTGATGCGTCGAATGAAATGAGCTGTATGCATAAACAGATAGATACCTAGGAAGATGACATTCAGAAGCTTTGTGGTCAGACCACGCAGCACTGAACAGTGCTAGTTACACCCTATATCTAAAGAGGATACGGAAAGACGACAACAGACTATTCATTCATGCGCGGTTGGTCGATATCCTCGTAACGGCCAGTATCAGGCCATGTTCGAGCGACATTATATTAAATAGGTCTACTATAATAAAATAAAGAATTTCAATAGCAAACAACCAGATAGACACTTAAAGCAAAATACTCTTCCTGTGTATGTTTTTAAGGTAATGGATATATATATATATCAGTTGATAGTCAAGATCAAGAGGCCAAAAATACAAAAGAGAAAACTCCGGTACAGGGAATCGAACCCTGGGCTCCGCGGAACTGATCTCTCAGCTATAAGTTGAGAGCGCGAAATGTTAGCCACTACACCATACCGGATGTTGCTTGGAAATTAGATTAAGATTAGACTTTATAATTGCCATACTAGAAAATATGGCCTTTTCATGTTACCTTACTCGGTTGAGATTGAATTTTGTTGTCCTGTAAAATGATCCCCACAAGTTGCCAGGAGCTTCAAGACTTAGATTCTGTCTTCATCATCATATCTGCCAATTGTGAATATCTTTTTTCTCGTGTTGATGTGGAGAGTCAGTATGATCAGGTTCCTAAATTGTATGCATGGTTTATCAGAAATCGTAATCTTGCACACCTACTAACGCATCGGAGAGGTTGGTAAATCTCTATTGAATGACAATGATAAAAGACTTCCAAGATAGAGTGAGATCCGGTGGGTATTTGTATTTAGAAGTCCTGATACATATCGAACTCCAACATAGATAATTCTCAGAAATAAACAGTTCACTGATCTTGATCCCATCATTATCCCCCTGCTCAAAGATTAATCAAGATATGTGACTGATTAGAACCAGCATGATATGACACCTGGGAGGTGCTAGGCCAACCAAGGACTTAATCTGTCGGCAATTTCTTGTCATTCGTCTGAGCATAATTCGACGAAGATCAATCTCCCGTGTTGGCAGGACGTTGACGGGCTTGCTGCCGATGCCACGTTTAAAGGCGAAGGTTCACGTATAAACGAGGCTCTCCTCGAGCAACAGCCAATCTACTCCTGGCATAATTCATCGTCGGGGTATACCCAAGAGAGACCTTCCATGCAAAAAGCCGAAATTTCCTTGCAATCAAGACAATTTCTTTTGCATCAGATCAGCCAGCTCGTCGAGCAGCTCCACGGTCTCCGCTGGGCTTGCGATCCAGGCTGTTGTTCCAACACTTCTCGCCTTGAAGTCATTTGATCCAGCACTCAGGAATTGATCGCCCACGTGCAGTGTGTTCTCTCCGCGAATGGCGCCACCAGTCTCCTTGCTACCAAACCACTGCTGGCAAACAGTCACGCCCCAGCTCTTATCACCAATATCGACAAACACATCATTACCTCCGTTGAAAGCACAGAACGGCACGCGGCGTGATTGGCTCGCCACTGAAGGTGGAATTGGAGGAGAGTTGGGTCGGTGCTTCGTTGGGCGCTCTTCGCTGGATCCGAGACTACTGAGCTCCAGGATACGCTGAACAACGAGAACAGTCTCCTCCAGGCTCTCACGGGCGATGCGAGTGCCCGGCGTCTTGGGGATAATACCAACAGCACGGTCCTTGCGCATGATCATGGCAGGCAGGTTCAAGTTGTTGACACAGTCACGAAGGGCACCTTCGGCAACATCCAGCAATCTTGTAATGTCGGCATCCGACCATGAGGCCATCTCGGGTGTCAGCCACTGAGTACGCGGGACAGGGGCGAGCTTGTATGGCGAAGAAGGTGAGTACTCAAAAAGGTAGTTTGCTTCACCTCCCATGATGACAATGTTCTGCTTCTGAATAGGATCCAGATCAGTTGACTCCGTAATTGCGTCAAGCAATCCATGAAGGCGCTCATAGTAGCGGTCGGCAGATGTGTAACCAGCAGCCGTAACAATACCAATCTTGATATTCTTTCGTAAGAGGTCTGATGGACATTAGTTTGCTGTTTCGACTTTTTGTGCACCAGCTTACCGAGAAGACGGGGAATCACAGGACTCGATGGCTCAAGATTAAATCCATCGTCATACAAGGTCACATCACCATCAAACGTGGCCAACTGCAGTGACCCAGTCGTAACAGCCATGGACTGGGCTGAGTTTAGGATCTGTCTGACATCGTTGAAGGATGGAGCAACAAATCTTCGTGATGAGATATACCGCTTTCTGTCTTGATATTTGAAAGCTGCCTCCAGAGGCAAGCGGGTGAAGAAAGGGCCCGCGGTGGGAATCAGCATCCGCAACTTGGACGGGAGCATGGTATCATCTTGCTGACGGCTAACTTTTGGGAATCAGACATGTTCGCTATGAAGGTGAATACGAAGGCTTACTGTGATCATCAATCATGAGCTCAACGTCACGCATAATCTCAGCGTAACGACGGTGAGCCTCTTCGGCCATCTGAGTAACACTAGGTCCATCTCCAAAAACGCCAGTGGGCTGAGAGTAGAGAACGAAAGGGACAGCTAGAAGACCCTTGACCCATTCTGTGATTCGAGTTAGCTGGCTGAGTCTGATTGAAGCGTGGACGGTGGGACATGTGATGCGGGGATGGAATGGGAAAATGTTGAATTAGAAGGACTGTGTAGTGTGTGATGCCGTTCGTGATATCTGGGACAAGTAGAGTACAACATACCAATAAATTGGTCTCTTCGGTGTGTCTTGAGAGCATCTGTTTACTATCGTGAGCTTGTGTAACCATGAGTGTTTGGATGCAAGGGGAGGATTGAGGTGGGGTTATTGACGGCTTAACTTACACTCGACACGGTAACGAGTAGTCATTGTTGCAGTTGGTACGAGGTTTCAGTTGATGTTGAAGGAGTTAAAAAGATAAAGATGCTCTGTAGGATGATGAATTTGTAAGAGGGAAGAATAGGACTAGAAGTTGTTTGCTGTTTGTTGTTTGTCTTTGATAAGATGAGGGGAGGTGAGAGACGGTGTGACCTGCACTTGCCTGGCCTAGGCAAGTAGGAGGAGGTAATCTAGACCTCGTCGTACCTGCCCTACCTCCAAATCCGGGTGACGTACGGGAGCCGCCGCAGCGTTCAGCGGGGGACGCCGACCGCTAAGATAGCCCAAAGCTGTAGGGGACGATCGACTTGATTGGCTCGGGGTATTCATGGTACCCCTGTCAATCGCTCCTGCATTACTCCGTACGGCATTTACATTGATGAGATCTCCCACACTGCAACTAGGATACCCTAGACTCTGCAGGAGCTCACTCTTCTCCCTTCATGCATTGTGAAACCAACACGATGAGTTCATACCTAGGTACTAGCTACTAGGTAGGAAACATCATTCAATTGAGTTTGTTTTCTAATACTGGCTCAGAGTTAGTACCTAGAGTGCCAACGCACGCACCAAGTACATGAGTGAGTATGATTATTCACAGCCGAAAGTCAGCGTCAGTATAACATTGACCCACAAGCAATAAAGTAGTAGGGCACCGGCTAACAGAAGCAATTCCAATGCCTAATGGATCTACAGATAGCCTATGCATAAGGTAGCTAAGATCTCACTTCAGATCGGCAATGTGTAAGTCGTCCGCATTGGCTCTCAGTCCTATAGTGGCTGGCTGAAGCCAGGTATATTATATGCATGTCTCAAACTGTTGTCAATCCCAAGCACAAAACCTGCTCATGAACCAATGATCAAGTTGAGTTAGATGCGGTGAGACGCTCCCAAATCAGTACAATTCCGTGGCAATAGACGCACATAAAGCATTGATATGTGGCCGTGCTTCTTTCCTACTCTCGTCCCCTTTCATCAAGGTGGACAATGTCGATGTAACCGTGAATTCGACGACGGCAGCAGGCGAGGCACACTATAAGACCAACTTAAAAGGATCTGAATTTCGCAAATTGGTTATCATCGATTGAAGCCTGTGAAGAGATGAGGGCAAAGGTTGGAAGTTCCCTCCCACCAGGAGACAAACATGTAAGGACTCTTAACCACATCGCCAAATCCCACCATACTGATAGCTTTTGATAGGGAGTTAGTGTCTATATACCGACATGGGAAGACACTGAAGTTTGGGGTAGAAGAGACCCCGAACTCATAGCCCAGCTAAAGACCGGATACCCTCGATTCTTCGTCCCCCTTGTCGTCAACGAACTCGCAGAACGATTACTGACATGGACGTCTGGCTTGCCTTGGAGACTTCTTGAAACCGAATTTCGAAACGGGCTAAGGCAGTCGCTGAAAGAGCCCGGACGATCAGCAATGCTAATAACAGCGCGTCATCATGCCAAAGATCTTCAAGGATATCTAGAAAAGCAGCTAACAAGAGCATTTGCATTTGTGGTTGACTTTGACGGTAATATTCGTCCGGTCAAAAAGTCAGAGAACCGAAGTGACTTGAACGAAATCTCTGTGGTCGTCTACCCTCCACGAGGGGCAAAAGAGGCCAAAGCATTCTGGCAACATACCGGCTTTGGTATCTCGAGTCGAAGAGCAACGTATTGGCTAGAGAATGCCCCTTTTATTAATCGCGGCCGAGAATTGCCTGAGGCTATTCTTCCGATCCAGGAGGCCAAAGAGGCCAAGGTTGCCATACAACAACGTATTGCAGACTCGTTCGGCACTGAAGACAACAAGCTGAAGAAGAGCGATGTGCTCTTGTACCCCACCGGCATGTCGGCTATCAGCCATATCCATGATATTATCAGCCTTTACACTACAACGACAAAGGGGACCATTGCGATCTTTGGGTACGTCAAAAATGAACCTGCTAAGTGGCCAGACTAATGACGGATCTAGATTTTTGTACGTCGATACTATCAAAGTTATAAGCAGGATCTACGGGTACGACTGTAAAATCTATAGCGGTACACAATCCGATCTGGAAACTCTGGAGGAGGAGTTGGCTGCAGGTCTGGAGCTGTGTGCCCTCTTCACAGAGTTCCCTGGTAACCCACTCCTTGGCTCTGTCGATCTAGCGAGGATAAAAAGCCTGTCTGACCAATTCTTCTTCTTGTTCGTGGTTGATGATACAGTCGGTACATCGGTCAACGTCGACGTTATCTCGCATTGCGATGTTGTATGCACAAGCTTGACAAAGATGTTTAGTGGGGGCTGCAACGTTATGGGAGGAAGCGTGACCCTGAACCCAAAGGGCAGAGGCCATTGGGATATGAAGAGAAGATTGAAGGATCGCTATGTCAATACCTACTTCCCGCTGGATATGATGGTTATGGAGGAAAACAGCACCGATTTTGAAGAACGAGTCATTAAAGCGAGCCAAAATGCAATGCACATCGCGGATACACTTCGCAAGCATAGCTCAGTCGGGCAAGTCTACTATCCCAAGGGAAGCCCGACACAACGACTTTACGAGGAATACAAACGTCCAGGAAAGGGGTATGGGTATTTGCTGTCCATTCGTTTCAACACCCCCGCAGCTGCCATCGCGTTCCTCGACGCTCTTGATGTGGCCAAGGGGCCGAGTCTGGGGACCAACTTCACTCTAGGTTGTGCATATACGCTCTTCGCGCATTTCCACGAGCTTGAATGGGCTGAGAGCTATGGTGTTGTCGAGCATTTGGTACGAATCAGTGTTGGAATCGAGAATCAAAGATTCTTGGACGAGGTTATCAAGACAGCCCTGGACGCAGCTGAACGAGCGAGTAAGAAATAAAAAGAATGTTGTGACATGAATACAAAAGACCTTTCGTCAAGAATGAACTTTCGGCTTTACCCAGCCTTAAATACTCACCAATGTAGAGCTACCTGCTTCACCAATAGAACAAGATCAACCTACTCTCTTCTGTCACATTGGAAATCGCGAAGCTAATTATCTCTCCCCTCTCTATCATCTCTGATTGCGGATACAGGCAATGTAGGGGCAAAACCAGGTTCACGCCTTCGCTGTCTGAGGAACGCTGTCTATAAGATCATGTGGCAGAGTAAGGATAAACGATGGCTTCGAACCAAGGATGGAACTATCAATTGTATTTACTTGTTTGTTTGTTTACCTTTAAACTGTGACTGCTCAGCTCAAGAGATCATCTCTCCTTTTTGCCTCGTGACTATCATCTTCGTCCTATCTCAGCTTGCACTCTCGAATCAAATGAACCTCTTGCTCGCTTCATCCGCAGTCTCGTCGTCATCGGCTCATTTTCTCATTTCTCCTCAGCACAAATTTCCCGCCCAAAAGACAACCTCGCAAAATGCTTCGCAATCCAGCTCCCCTATACCAATCATACCCACGGCACTCTTTGGAAGGGGGTCCTCCAGTAGGTGGGCTCATCGTTGTTTGCACGTTCTAAATCTCTTTCTTTTGGTATGGGCTCAACACATTTCTTGGTCTCCGGGGAATCTTTACTCCTGCCCTGACATGAACGAGGAAAGGGATATAACAAAATGGGGGCAGAAACAACTCCAATAACTCAGATCACTCGTGATACGTGTACGACATCCTTCGACAGCCATCCTTTAGCTGGCACCGCCGTTAGGGGCGCTGAGGTTGGCCGCCATGGCAGCAGCCTGTTGTTGAGCCAGGAGCTGGGCTTGCTGGGCTTGCTGCACCTGCTGTGCCGCGATCTCATCGGCTTTGACCATTACAGACTGAATCACATTCTGATCATCAGCTGTGAGGTGTCCAGCCAGGCTGCTGTAGAATTGGGGTTGCTCTTGTTGCATTTCTATCAAAGTCAGCAATGTCCAAAGCTGCGTGCAGGATTGACTCACTCATTAAAGTGCCGCGGAATAATTGGTAAGGCTCAATTTTGTCGAGCGGTGACTCGAGCAGGACAGAGTCCTCGCCAAGATCGTCCTCCTCAACATCATCAATCGCTCGGCTAAACTTCTGGGCCTTGGTTTCGTTAGCATTACATCGTAGTGATTACATAGGATCATACATACCTCCTCGTTCAAGAAGTTGAGATAAGCAGTGCTCTCGTCCTTGGACTCGTTAGTCTCGCCTGTCTCCTCTTCCTCCTCAGCGTTCCAGTTGGCCTCGTCGTCATCCCACTCGTCTTCCTCGCCGTAGTCGTAAGTAGACTCGAGGTGGAAGTCGTCACGGAGTGCTTCATCGCGGTCTGTGATCTGTTAGTTGTGACCCAATGACGCAACGGTATGAGAGACTTACTCTTCTGAGCGGCAGGGAGGGAGCGGAATAGTTCAGTAATGCCTTGGAGCAATCTTGGCCAGCCAACAGAGACACTGGATGGCACGTGCTCAGGGTTCAGACTGAGAAGAGCTGAGATGGCAACAATGCAAAGCTTCTTGTCGTGAACACGGGTGAAAGAAGTCATGCTGCCGAACCAAAGACTGAAGAATCGGTTTGTCCAGCCCTTGTTCTCAAGGACCTGCAGGGTGAGAAGTGGGTTGTAATGGATCGAGTTGATAACCATCTCCATGAGATGGATGCGGTAGCTCTTCACCTTGACATCTTGGTTGGCGAGGATACTCATGGCAATGTTGATGAAACCCTCGACACAGCTGTCAATCTGGCCTTTCAAGCTAAGCATCATGGCCTCGGCCAGTTTGCAAGCGCATATCCTCTCAACACCTCCCTGAATACTGTCGGTGAACATATCAGCGACCATGGAGTAAAGGGCCTGAGTGTACTCGGGCTTCTGAGCGAGCTGGGGAGCACCAAATTGGACAAAGTTATCCAGAGCAGGCAGCATATCCTCGAGGTAGTATTCAGCACCGGCCTTGAAGGTAGTGTGAATCAACTCAAAGGCCTGCCACATAGTGGGAGATATGGACTTGGCGGCGAAAGTGCAGCTATCGATGATTTCGAAAACTTCGTTATAGAGATCGTAGAGCTTGTTCTCCAGGGTAACCTTGATGACGGGCATAAGGACAGCCTCAATGTGGAGCAGGACGTCAGGAGTGCTCTCGAGTGTGAGAATTAGAGTTCCGATAGTTTGCAGGACACCCAGGGCAGTAATGCTCTTGTCGTCATACTCGTTGTAGAGCTCGCCGTCGTCACCAACCTTGCTCTCCTTCTCGAGAAGCTCGCGCACAATTCTCATGTAAGTGTCTCGGAGCTGCTCACTCAGTGCGACAGCAAAAGGAGTGAGCTCAGTGGCGAAGACCTCGACAAAGTCCTCCATGACATTGGCGAGCGCATCGATATCGGCCTCGTTGGCAAGCTTGAGCAACTGCTGCATGATCGTGGGAATGTTTTGTTGCATGCTTGTTCGAATGACATCGTGGCGGATAAGAGGCTGGAGAGCGAGAGCAGCCGTGACACGAACTGGGAGAGCAGGGTCGGCCATACAGTCGAGGATGTGTCGGTATATAGTAAGAAGGTTGTTCTGGTCTTGGAAGTTGAGCTGCTCGAACTTCTCGATGGTGTCGCAAGCACGAGCGCGGAGGTAGCCCTGTGGGCTGGTGAAGTCGGGGAAGACATAACGAACGAGGAAGTATTCGACCTGATCAGCAATGGGGCTCTTCTTGCCCAGAATAACCGGTGCTAGGGTAGCGATCATGCGCAGAGCACCCTCCTTGGCAATATGGTTCTTCTGATCATCCGCAGCCTGCTCGTATTCGGTGACAACGGCATTGACGAACTTGAGAATCTCGAAGGTCTCCTTGCGACGGTTCTTTGTAAGGTTGACAAGGAAGTTAGTGGCGGCGACATCAGGAGCAGACGCTTCCTCGAAGTAGTTAAGCTTTCGGTGAAGGTACTCGTCGGGCTCCTCCTCGAACTGCTCGACATCCTCTTCGGTAAGGCAGAGGACAGGGAAAACGAAGTGGGTAACAAGATTGGTAAGATGAGGCTTAAGGTGTGTCCACATCTCCTTGGGTCGTACGGACTCGTCGAGGAAGACCAGTGTATAGGAAAGGCAAGGTCGACTGAGCCAAGAGGTTTTGGCAACCCATTTCTCGATTTCTTGGAGGTAGTGCTTGAGGATCTCGGGGGCAATGTTTGCGGTGAAGTCCTTGGCAAAAGCAAGTGCTTCTTCGCCCTTACCAGGACTGGCAGGGTTGCCATGTCTGCAAATTAGATGTTAGCTAAAGTCACCGACGTTCAACATGTGCAAGCAATCCTACCGAATGAAGAGGCGGTTCAGGTTGAAGAAAGCCCACTTCTTAGCCTTCCACCAGTGATGTTTCTCACGTTCGTGTTGATCACCCTGCATAGCATTGGCGGGGCAAGCCTTGGAAACCGTGTGTAGGAAAACAGTGCACCAAGCGATGTTGGTGTCACGTTGTCGTAGCGAAGGCGAGAGTTCCAACTGCGAACGATGTCAATACGTGGCTCATGAGCAAATATATCAGATCCAGGGGAGTGCGCACCCATGTCGCATGCTTGTAGGCCTTGAGGGCCAAGTGAAGCATCTCACCAGCCTCATCGCTCTCCTGGTTCACCAACTCGTTGCAGATGGCGAGAAGACGGGGAAATGTTGCCTCCACAATCTTGTCAAAGTGTTGTCTGTCATCGCTGTCGGTCGATTTATAGCGGAAGGCACGGCAGATGGCAAGCAGGCATTGCAGACCAGCAAGAACGGAACCGGGGTTATTCGTGTTTAGAAGCTCGACGGTGAAGTCCATGAACTTGGGCCAACGGGCGGGGAAGTCATATTGGAGGATTCGTTGGAGGACGGGGATGAGCTGCTGGCGGACGAGGGTTTCGGACGTAGCGAGAATTGGCAGAAGGCGGTCTCGTACACGAGCCTTCTCTTCTTCAGGGATTATAGCGGTGGGGGGGTCGGGAGAGTACCCCTCATTATTGTACCATGATCGATTGACACGGTTCTTGACATAAATCACGGCTGGAGTGGAAGTTGGTCAGAAGTGAACTGATGAGGGAGCGCACAAGGGCACAAGAGTTGGTAGACATACTCGAAAGGCGGACACTAGCCTCCTGTTCGGCTTGTAAAATATCGAGCAAACATTCGAGAAATCCGGGCTGTTCTTCAATCTGGAAGGGTAGACGGGAACAAATTAGCATCGTGGTTCTGTGCGGAATTGGAGGCTGGCGCAAGGATCACAGCTGCACAAAGAGGCTTCGGGGGAAGGAAACTCAAAGTAGGTGGAAGAGAAGCCAGCCAGCCATAGCATCAAAGAGTAGAGCAGAGCTTGATGGCTGGACGATTCTTTACCAATACCCAGGCACAAAGGAGTTCCGTTCCCTCGACCATCTCGACCGAAGACGCAGACGCAGACGCAAACGCAAATACAAACAAACACACACGCAGGACGCACCTGTTTCAACTGAAGCTCAGCACGCCTTCGACTGTCTGCATCAGGGTCCAAGCTAGTGGCGAGCAAGGACCTCACAGCGGCGGGATCCATGATGAAGGGTGGATATGGAGAGAAGTCGACGTCGAGGCCGAAGGGGATGGGAGTGTGAGGTTGGAAGAGAGGCAGGCGGACGGACGAAAGAGGCGGAATCAGGATCTGTCAGGTCTGGATAAGGATGGCGAGCGACAGATGGCGGGGCATCTAGAGACAGCCCAAAAAAGCACCCCAAAGAAAAAGCACAAGCAATGGAAGCAAGCAAATCCGTCCAGGCCAGGCCAGCTAACTTTAGTCCACAATCCACAGTCCAACGACTACGAGACCACGGTGTGAAGCAGAAAGGAGTCTCAGTACCTAGTCGAGCGAGTTGCTGCGCTGTGATGTGCTGAATTAAGTCGACGCCTTGGGAATGCGACAGTGACTTTTGTTGATCAAGGT